GAAAATTAAATGCTGCCGTCTCGTTCGGCTCACTAACAGCGTGATTTTTATTTTACAAAAATTGTTAAGAGCTCTTCATGTATGTTTTTCACTAATAGAGTACAGGGGACTGTTACTAATCTACTGAGCAAATAAAAACTGAGCCACATGTGTTCCCGCATATTAATAAAACTTACATTTTATATTCAAAGACATTCAGACAAAAATAAGACATTCGTAGAAATCGCCCTGTGTTGTAGTGTTTTCTGAACAATATTACCACTAGGCCCTTTGAGAGTCAGTTTTGTACCTTTACATAAATTTCAGGGTTTTGTGGGATTGAGTTCCTTGTAACAAGTCCTGTCTGGTCAAACTTCGAGGAGGTGGGTTAATGCACTCATGGTGAAAACTGGAAGAATTAAAAAGATCGACTTTTAGGAAAACCCACTTCAGCATAATATCGCTATCCTCTAATGAATTTGTGCGTCACAGCTGATTTATACTGGATTTCTCTCGGGAAAATCTTTTTCACGATTTCTGAAATCTTATAATTGTCTTAAGGAGGAGTAAATATCAAGTAACCAGCACAATAAGAGTGATCATACCGTTCCAATTGAGCGTCCCATTCCTGTAGAGTTTCGTGCAAACTCTGAGAGTCGATTGTCATCTGCGACCAATGACTAAAATGCAAAAAGATCCGCTTTGTAAATTTAAAATTGGCTTTGCGAGGAAAAGTAAAAAAGAGAGCGAAGAGATAACGGAGAGAACAGAAAAGGAGGCGACATTTATGATAGAAAACGACGTACTTTGTAGTGAGTATTTCGTGATCCGAGCAAGCCGGTGCAAAGACACCCCTGAAAATAAAACGGGATAAAAAGGCGTTACTGAAATCAATAATGGTAGCCTATTCTTAAAACTGTTATTTTCGAGATGCTCATTTTGCTCAACAATCAAGAGTGGCACACACTCATAAAGAAAAGATGCAGTCTACCACAGTAAAAATTATAACTTTGATATACGCAATGATGCTGATTGAAGACATGGCAATAGCAGAAAACTTTACTAATGTTTCTCCGACGATTTTCTGAGACAGGACTTTAATGAATTCAAAGAACATTCATTTTCTACAGATATTTGGAACGCCTTGAATGCGCTTTCACTTACAAGAAATCTTCAGCAGAGCGAACTAACTGACCTTTCTTTCTCCGCTTAAAGTAACTTTACACCTTCGCTGTCTGAAGTACTTCTAAATATGATATTTTAAGTCAACTCGCGGCTATGAGTGCTACTCTTTCCCCGGTGGTTCACGTTAGCAACCAACCTCGAACAAAGACAAGCTTTATCGGGCAGAATAGTCCAGCATCCAGGCATCCAGCAGTCTGCTACGGGAGGCCATTTTTTAGCAATATGGTGACCTCAAAAAGTCTATTAAGATATATTCTTTCCATTTCTATGCATGAGATATTCTTCCTGTAATCACAACTTACTGGAAAGTGTCTTTGTATGCAGGCCAGGCTGTGGGTGAAGTATTTTCAGGATTTAGTTAAATTGCTTCTTTGTTGTGTACATAACATCAACAAGGACGTTGCGTTCACTCCGTAGGTTTTTGCGTTCTCGTTACTTTTATTCTTTGAGAAAACTCAATTTGAATCTAATCAATCAGAGCACTCGTTTAAATTTCCCAGACGCTGATTGGCTCAGCAAAGTAAAGCAGCATGAACTTCCTCTTTGACTTAGCCAATATCTCACCTCGCTGCTTCAGCATAAACCTATTTCACTGTGTCAGGTGTTAGCTTTTGTGAAGTACTGTGCTTTTAGTTGTGCTTTTTGTGCATAGTCAAGCCCTCCGTTATGTCCGCAAACTATTTGCTCCCCGGAGTTGTCCCCAAGTACTTACGGAAGATCCCAAGTATTGCCGAGAAAGGCAAAACTTTTGGATATTGCGAAGGAAGAAGACAGCTACGGGGCTGTATGGCACTACTGCGAAATTAATGAATCCACTGTATGATATATTAGGAAAAATGAAAAAAACTATAAATAGCGCGTGACTGCATTTTCCCTATGATAAATATATAATAATAATAATGCTTTCATCATCTCCGGAAGAGGAAAAAGACGGAGGGGCAATTCCTGAGACCAAGTTGCATTTAAGCTGACGTTTCGAAAATATTCTCGTTTTCATCGTCAGAACGTAGTTTCTATTCTCTTGCTTGCGTCGAGTGAATGCGTCTGACCGCTAGATGCGTGTCATAAC